GATTTGTATTATGAACTGCATAGTTCTGTTATATATTTAAAAATTATTTTATAAAATTAAGTAATGCTACAATAATTACATACAGTAATTTAAAATAATTTGACTCAAGTTGATGTAAAGAGTCTTAGAGTTGGGTTTTTAATTTAGGTTATTTGGATTAATTCAACCCTTTAGGAGAACATTAAAAATTTTTTGAGAACACTAATAATTTAATTTAAGCTCTTCTGAGAACATAAATATAAATTTGAATTTTAAACACTGGTCATACCTGCCAGATAAATTAGTTATCCGGAATGATATACGGAACCACGTGCTTTTGCTATTATCCCATGCATCTGCCAGATAACAAGAAAATATTTTAGTAACACATGCTTAGCGTTAGTCAGAATTAACCGTTAAATTTCACATACAAAAAAATTATATATACCATTTTGTATATTCCATTATTTGAATGTAGCAAAAACTTACGGTTCAATATTTAGTTCTTTAGTTAGTTCTTGAGTAGTATTAATATTGTTATAAAAATCATTTTTGTAACTAAATAAAAGAATAGAAGATTATTGCGCCATTTGATTAAATGTTTCTAATTTTGCAAAGTTTATTTATCAGGTGATCAAAATCAGTAGTTCGTGTGACTAAATTTAATATTTAAGGAAATTTTGACAGTTAAAAAAAAAAAAAACTAATGGCAATGTTGCGATTTCGTACCGAAGGACATAATGGGTATTCGGTAAAAATTTTTTGACAAATAAAAATATCGATTAAATAGGATCTCAATTATAATTTTTTTAATTATTCATGAATTTTTTTGTAGTTACAATTCAGTCCATTCATTGATAATAAACTATCATGTGCATCGGCGGCAAATTTTGGATTAGTAGGAAACGGAAGATTATACATTTTAAATACTGGTGTTGGCCCTAATGGTGTGGAGATTGAACGAATGTAATCCATGATTCTGTTGACGATATTCTCTCAATAATTATAACACAAAAATAATATTTATATTATTCGAACAGATATGATACTAAAGATGGTTTATTTGATTGCTCTTGGAGTGAAGTTAATGAAAATCAAGTTGTTACTGCTAGTGGTGATGGTTCAATAATGTTATGGGATATTACTCTCACGGTTGTTTCTTTTACTTAATTTAGTTTTTGTTCTCAAATAT